TGATTCTTCATCTTGTCTAGCCCGAACCTCTCAGGCTAGACAAGATGAAGACAATATGGCAGGCGTATTCTCCACCCGGGAACTTCTGTCCGGAAAAGAAGCCAGAGCCTCCCTTTGAATATGTCCCTTCAGCGCAAACAGCCTCTCACGGGACTCATTGCCATTACTGGGTGGCCAGTACAGCCGTGTCTGCTGTTAAAATACTGAAACACATCTGTGCCTGCTGCTAACTAGTCACTGCCTTGAGTGGTCCCTCCCCTCCACGATCCAGCAACTAAAAAAATAACTCCAGCCCAGCAGGGGGGCCTCCAAGACCCTGCTGCAACACAAAAGCTGACTCCCTTCTGATTTTTAACATCACGCCTGCCTTTCATTCATTCAGGTATCAGATGTATAACTACAAAGCAGTGGATCTAAGTTTTTATGGAACTGGAGAATTAAGTACCCAAATAGAATAAGTAATATTATTTATCAATCAGCCATCTTATTCTTGAGGCTTGGTTCCAAATGACTTCTGGCTTATGCTAAAAGCAAATCTACTTTCAAAAGATAAAACTTTGCCATCTGTAAGGGTTTACAAAAGAGTAAACCCAATCCCAGTGACAACCTAAATGACAGGACCCAAAAACTATTTCAAGCAATGATAGCAAGCAATCATTGAAATAAGTGTATAGCTTCAATAAATGAAGAGTTTATCCAAACATAATAATTTGGGGAAATTTTAATGCTGCTGGATATCAGATGATATTAAGGAATTTTTAAAATAAAATTTTTTTTTAAATAAATTTCTTTATGTATTTTTGGCTGCATTGGGTCTTCGTTGCTGCACACGGGCTTTCTTTTTAGTTGTGGCGAGCGGGGGCTACTCTTTGCTGTGGTGCACGGGCTTCACATTGCGGTGGCTTCTCGCTGCAGAGCATGGGTTCTAGGCACACGGGCTTCAGTAGTTGTGGTGTGAGGGCTTCAGTAGCTGTGGCTCGCGGGCTCTAGAGCGCAGGCTCAGTAGCTGTGGCGTACGTGCTTAGTTGCTCCACAGCGTGTGGGATCTTCCCAGACCAGGGCCCCGTGTCCCCTGAATTGGTAGGCAGATTCTCAACCACTGCACCACCAGGGAAGCTCCATATTAAGGAATTATTATCAGTTTTTAGATGTGATAATGATACTAAGTTAAGGTTTTTAAAGGAGTCTATTTTACAGATACATACTGAAACATTTACAGATGAAACAGGATGAAAGGGATTTGTTTCAAAATAATCTAAAGACAAAGTAGTAGGGGGGAGGGAGCGGGCTAGCAATGAATACATAGGCTTTTTTATACTATTCTCTCCACTTCTGTATGTTTTAAATTCTTCAAAAGTAAAGTTCAGCAAAATTGCTTCCAATTAGTCTATACCTCCCAGCCACCCCTGGTAGGTGGGAGAAATAACAATTGAAAGCAGCCTGGATTATGACATGGAGGACCCGGAAGGATCCACAGTCTGAACACTACCTAAACACTGACTGTGTACCTGTGGAAAGTCCTGTATTTAGCCTTGTGCCGCAGTTTCCAGCCTGTGAAACGCACATAACCTTAACCCCCCCCCCCCCCCACACACACACCATTCTGAAACAGGCCAGGAGGAGTCTAAACAAGACAACATTTGTAAAACATTTTGTGTTCCTTGGGAGAAAGGTGTGACATAAAGGATGCATCACTGTAGGACCTCAGCACCCAGAGGGGTTGTGTAAAGTTTTGTTCAGATGATTCAGGATTCCCAGAAGCTCCCCAAAGATTTTTCAGAAACGACCTCATGCTTCCCTCTCTAGGCCAACTGAAAAAAGGAGCAGAAACAAAACACCCTGCTTCTACACAGGAGGCTTTTAGCAGCTCTGTTTACTCCTCCAACACAAAGCCCTTGTTTATGTGTGACAGATGGTAATACATGTTTCTCTCTTCTCTCCGCCCCCGCTCATTTGTTCCCCTCTGTTCCTTTGTCCCCCTCCATTCTTCCTTTTCTCCAGTCCTTCTCTGCCTCACACCACTTTTCCTGAACTGATTCAAGGGCCAGGGAGAAGGATAAAGGCAGACAGAACGCCAAGCCCTAGAGAACGCATGTGCCCAAGCCATGCTGTCAGGCCGATACACACAGTCGATTCTTGGTTCACAGCACTCATACTTGAAATGTATTTTTGAAGACAGAGTGACACACCTTTGAAACTGTAGGGGGCTCAGAGCAAACATTAGAAGGCCCATAAATATTTATGTGGTAGGTTTCCATGGATTGCTTTCCCAAAGTAATCACAGTCGACACATTTGCGTACAGACACACACACACACACACACACACTCATGTTCCTTCCAGACCCAGCCACTCCCCAGATAGAACCTAACTTGTACCAAATATTTTTGCGCTAGGCACAGTCTATAACGCAGCAGTGGAGGGGGTGTGAAGGGCTGAGTAAGCTAGAGCCTTCTCTCTATCCTCATGGAATGCTACTGCTGTGACTCAGTCTTTCCCAGCCTCCATTTCTTCGTCTGTAAAATGAAGGTATTCAAATAGGTAAATGACATAGACTCTTTTCCAGCTCTAAATATCTATGATCCTATGAGTAATCATGCCAAGGCTCCCAGAGAATTCCCATTAACCGATCTACCTGACACCCCAATACTTGGTGGGGACAGAGGAAGGTCTGTCAGAATAGATGTCAAACCAGTGCTCGAATGATGATCCGTATAGTACAGAAGAGAGAAGCTAGGGGCAAAGGGGGAAAGAAAAAATGGTATTAAGTTTAGTAGGGAAATAACATGCTTATAAATAGGATCCGAGAAGGGGATCAAAGAGGAAAGAATTGATGTAATAGATACCAAGCTGAAGGAGAAGACAAGCTTTGGCACCTGCCTGTATGTCTAAGAGAAAAGATAGCAAGAAAAAAAAACTGGACATAAGGAGGTGTGTGCCTGACGATAAACCTAGTCTCCTGAAACAAACATGCTTCCAACAGAGGCATTCTCCAAGAAGCAGCATGCTGGCCCTTTTAAGAGAGGCCTCAGTTTGGCGCCTTGTTCTACACAAGGATAATAACTATCCCCCATGGCCACACCCACCCCAGACAAGAAAGAGTAAAGAGCCATGCTCAGAACAAATGAAGTCGCTATTTCAGAATAGCTACGTCTGCAAATGATTAACTCCAGGATTTATTACCAATTAGGACTATAAATCTCTGCTTACTTTGGCTCCTGGAAAGTTGATTTCACTGGGGGATGGTGGGGGGAAATCCAAGCTTAAAAAGACACACTGCAAATTCAAAAGGAAGCAGGATACCTCAAGCATCAGAGCGGAAAGCAGGCCTCACCTTGTGGTTCTAAGCAAACAGCCCAGCAGATGCCCACAGGGTTAGCAAAGTCAAAGAGGCTAGTGCCACCGAGAAGAGGGTGTTGGGGCCTGGAAGGAGGGCGCATAACCGAGGGGCCCCCAGCGGCCAGGCCACAAAATGGCCAAAGTTGGCAGTGAAGCATGTGCATCAGGAGTTGTTTTTTTGTTTGTTCGTTTTCTGGCCACACCACGCAGTTTGTGGGATCTTAGTTCCCTGACCAGGGATCGAACCCGGGCCCATAACAGTGAAAGTGATGAGTCCTAACCACTGGACCACCAGGGAATTCCCACATCATGGAGCTTTAATGTTCCTGATCTCAGGGGTTCTCAGCCTTGGCTGACCACTGGAATCACCTGTGAAGCTTTAAAAACACCTATGCTTGGGTCACACTGCAGACCAATTAAATCAGAATCTCTATAGAGGATGAGGTTCAGGTATCAGGATTATGCAAAAACTCCCCAGGTGACCCTCCAGGTGCAGCCAGGGTTGAGAACCACTGCTTATCTCGTTTCCTCCTCACAGCAACCCCAAGGTATAGGTACAGTAGTACTCTCATGGTTTCCTAGAAGAGAAAGCTGAGGCGCAAAGAAGCTCAGTAACTGGTCCAGGGTTACACAGCTAATAGTGATAGAGGCATGATTTGAACCCAGACCTCGCACTCTTAACCATCATGCCCCATGGCCTCCAAGGCTACAGTTCTCAGCGCTCCAGGCCCTGAGCCTTCATGGGCTTTTCAAGGTAGAAAATGGGGTCTCTCAAACTATTTTCATATATCTTTTCCTAAAAATTCTAATAGAAATGAAACATTAGCCCATATTAATGCTACGTATTAACTAGGAAGGCAGGTTTCTTTCCTTCGCTTGGAATGAGAAGGTTGCACTGGACACTGCATGCGTATCAGGAGTTCTCATTCATTCCTTCAACAAACATTAAGTGCCAGTTTTCTGCAGAGTCTATACAACAGAACCACCCTGTGCAGATAAGCACACAACAGATACCCTAAGGGCCGAAACAGTGGCATGCACTAGACACTGTGAGAGTCCACAGATGAAAGTGGACAGCTGAGTGCCAGTAATGTATTATGACTTTGGTGAGTGAAAAATGGCAAAGTAAATCGTAGGATCATATATGCATGTTGCTACGTGGTGAAATAAAAGATGGAGTCCCTAAGTGCAGGTATGGGATAATAAGATGCTATGAGAAGGTTGGGAATACACTGCTGGTGATCCATAACTATTTAATCCAGAGTAGAAAATGCACATTTCCTGGCGAGCACCTACATGAGTACAGTGAGCTAGATGTCAACAGGGGAGGGGGGACTGAGGTGACCTCAAGAGCCCATATCCTAACTAAAGAGGCAGCCAGTTCTCACCTCAGCCAAACGTTTCCATATCGGAATGTGGGTACAGTGTTGTCAGTCCCTCTGACTTTTTTAGGGGAAGCTGTAAATATGGGTTGCTTATGCAAGATCTCCCAATTTTTAAACAGCATCTAATTCGAGTCTTTTCAGTACACTGTATAGACCAAAGAAAACACAACCAGCACCAGCTCTGCTTCCACGATTGAGAGTGAGCTCCCTGCTTGACCCACAGATCCCAAAGCAACTGCTTATCCCACTTGTGCTTCCCCCCACCTCCCACCTACAGGTATGCTCATTTATTTTGGGTACGGCATCTGGAACAGCACCCTGGAAATCAGCGCCCGAGAAGAAGCCCTGCACCAAAGCACGTACCAGCGTTACGACGTGGACGACCCCTTCTCGGTGGAAGAAGGTTTCTCCTATGCCACAGAGGGCGAGAGCCAGGAGAACTGGGGCGGGCCTGCCGAAGACAAAGGCTTCTATTACCAGCAGATGTCAGATGCACAGGCAAACACCCAGACGAGCAGCAAGGCGAAGAGCAAAAGCAAACACAAACAGAACTCAGAGGCCCTGATTGCCAATGATGAGTTAGAGTACTCTCCAGAGTAGGAGCAAACACGCAAGAAATGTGTAGAAATGATGGTGATTTATTTTCAGTAACTTAACCTGTGGGCTAGAAGGTGGAAACGTCTTTGGCTCTCATTGCAAAAACCCAGCCTTCCCCAAAGTCAGTCCCCAGTCATAGCCTGTCATTTGCCACTTCTGCTCTTCAGGATGGTTCTGTCGAAGGGCTTAACCCAGGTCCCATAGCTGGTCCCCTTGTAAGAAACAAAAACAAAAAAGCTAAACAAGAAGCTACAAGAAGTTCTACCTTAGGTGCAACCATCAGAGCTGATGGCAGCAAACGTTTCCCAGGCCTTCGCTTTGCTGGTTGAATCTTTTCGCTTCTAAGGCCCCAAGAAGCAGGGAGTAAACTTCCTGGACCACACTGAGGCTGCAGCTCCTCCTGGAGATGTGCCAAAGCAGGCAGGGGTGGGCACAAGGCAGCATGTCAGCCACCTGAGACCACAAAGGCAAAGCTCTGTTTCAGCGTGCTGGGCTGAGAGCTGCTCCCTGAGGCCAGGTGGCATGTGGCACTTCCTCAGCAAGCCACATTGTGTCCTGCAATCTCACAAAAACAAATTCATGGAGATGCACGCCTCTTGTCCTTCGCCAAGGTTCTCACAATCTCCCAACTAGAACTTTAGGACACAGCAAAGGTCAGGGACTCTGAGACCATGACCCCAAAGATTTCAGACGCACCATAAAGCAGTCATGCAGACCCAATAATATGGTGAGAAGCACCATCAAAGCTCTACTTAAATGCCCAGAAAAAAAAAACAAAACTGAATAACCATCTCTTGCAGTGAAGGCCAGAAGGGCATTGGCAAAAATTAACTCTCTGTCATGCCTTCTCTTATACCAGACTCTAAGCTCCTGGTGATATGATGAAAGAGGGCAAAGTAAGAGCATGATTTCATGGCACTAGTATGCCTTGAAGAAGTAGGCTGTTTGTCTTACGATCAGATAAAAAAGCTTTACAAGGCGAAGTGACCCAGCCACTGAGATCACATTGCAAACTCTACTTCAGATTTCTAAAATTATAAATTCTGTAGTTTTGTGAGATATGCAACCACTTGATTGGTGGATGCTGCTCTGAAAACAAAAATATTGAAGCACAGCTACTTAGTAACTGCATTCCATGAGGTCACATTTCACTTCTGAACCTTATTCCTCTGGAGTAGCTCACTTTTAGATGTGTATTTTTCCTGTTATTTCCCAAAGTAGTTTCACTGAGGCCCAGAGAAAAATCTGGTAAGGTCTAAATCTGGGCCATAGAGGGGGCTCTTAAAGGTATTTTCTCTGAAACAAGCTGGAAGAGAACATTTGCAACAAGAAAAAAAACACATGGTCTATGCATTCTAGTCCTGGGTTACAGGGATTCCAACACTGCCTTGAGATGTGCACGCATGTATGTGAAGGCACAATTTGGATCAAGCTAAAATCTTTCTGAGAATTTCCCGAAAGGGAGGCGCAATAGCAAATTCTTTGCTCTCTCTGTCTCCTGGATCTAGAGTTATGCCAAAAGTTTTCCAGAACATCAACTAATGTTTAAGTCTATTCTTTCTTAAAGGTTGAGGTTTGTGCCACCTTGGCATGTTTCAGGATTATAAACAGGAGGCAAAAGCACATTTTTATGCAAAACTAACACTGATCAAGAATGTATCAAGTTTTAAGCAATGCGAATAAAAAGAAATGTAACATCTGTCCTTGGAGGCTCACAGCCCAGGGAACAAGCAGCACCAGAGCCTGATAAATGTAGATAAAACAACCGAACCTGACAAGTCCTCTTGGTTGATGCCCTGGGCTTTAACATAATATTGTTTAAAAGATCAACTGAAACTAGTTTTTTTTTTTTTTAATAAACTGCATATCCCACCCATAGCCAATGTATGCCATTTAAATTCAAATAATTACTGTTTCCAGATCTTCTTTTTCATTCCTCTATATTAAGTGTTTAGAGCTCTGGTTTCCTGAGGTCATTTTTTCATTTTAATTTAAGGCTTGGCAATGCCATTTTTCTCTCGCCTAAGATTAACCATAAAGATACAGTGCCTGGTGTGTGAAATACATCCTTGGGGATTAAATTCGCTATCAGTAATTTTTGTGAAAACAAAGTTTCGAACTGGTCTTAGGACTGAACAAATCTGCCTAATTTAAACATAACCTGTTAAACCTGAGACACATCCAGACAGATGGGATGGGGCTGTATTCCTTAAAAGCGTTCAAAGAGAAATATGAATACAAAAATAACAAAATCCTAACGTGAGTGAAAGAGCTTCCTTTTGCTAGTAAGGTGTAGGTACTAGCGTAACCATTGTCTGGTGGCAGATGTATGCAGTTTCTGCAGCATGAGAAGAGAGAAGGCATGCTTTGGTAAACCCCGTTGGTACTGATTTCTTGAAGGCCTTCTCTAAATCATTCTCATTTCAGGAGTCATTTCTCACCAGTAGCATCTCTATATTTTTTTAAGCTTTGCTCTCCTTATTGCTCTAAAGTTGATTAGTCATTTCACCAGTGACCTTGGTTTTTAAAAAAAGTCAGTCAATATGATAGAAAAAGTTTTTCAAGATAAATAGACATGTTTTTCCCTCATGTTTCCCAGCCTCTGTGAAACAGTCCTAGATTTCACAATGCAGTTTTCAAATACCAGAAGCCACCAGAATGATTATAGTAGCGTTTCCTAATTAATTTTCTTAAGACCATATTTGTGGGACCACGTTATAAGTAAGATCACCCTATAGTTACCTCAGAAACTTAGCCCCTTGAACAGAGTCCAAGAAAGACCTCTATTTTACTGACTCCTCTGTAGCAAGAGCTCTTTCAGTGAGATTTCATCATGTGGATTTATGATTTGGAGGCAAATACTTGATTTTTTTTAATTGTATGCTCTTTATTAGCACTCTGCTTCATTTCAAGAGGACTTCAGGTGGCTATAAAAATACATACAATACAGAAAGATTAAGTGAGGAACTGAGGCAAATAAAAATAGAAATAGAAAGGATAAGACAAGGCTAGACGTGTATTTAGTGCACAAATGCAGAACTTTGACATGCACTGCTAGATTTGCCAATGAGGAGGCAACTTAAGAAATAATGGAATTGTTGGTAATGACAACAAGAAGTGTTCCTGGATGATAAGAATATATCCTTCCCCACGAGGGCAGAGAACTGCAATACCATAATAAGCTTCAGAGCCAGATTTTACCAACTGCATGTGCTTGGCATATAGTGGATGTTCAATAAATATCTGATCAGATGGATGGGTGGATGGATGAATGAAGGGAAAAGGAAATATCATTTATTCAACAATTTTTTGTGGAGAGCTTATTATGTGCTGTAGGGGTTTAAATATCGAAAAGACCTCCCTCCATCGGAAAGATCATAGAGAATGCAGCCCTTGTGTTGAGGCTTGTGGGGTGGGGAGACTTTTGCCAGGTAGAAATGAAGGAGATGCTCGCCAGCTGGGGGATCAGCATGAGTAAGGTGTAGACTGTGGCTAACAGCTGTCTCCTGACTAATCATTTGTACCGTGCCTCCTTCAAGGAAAAGCAAGAAGCTAGTTTGACAGGAGCACATGATTTGTATTTAGAACTGTAGAAAATAATGCTGAGAAGGCAAGTCAGGGCTCACGCACAGATAGATGTGAATGTTGAACTGAACTGGCTGGCTCTCCTTGGGTGGGGCGGCAATGAGGAAATGATGAAAGTATGAATCAGGGAAGGCTGGACTTCAAGAAGCTGGGGCAGTGGCTTCATCTGCCTAGCAAGGGGCTGAGAAATTACATACACACTCCAAGTTGATTTAACATACCTAAAGGGGGAAAATATCCATACTTAAAACAACGTATGATTCTTCCTTTGAAATCCTGTCTGATTTCATCAACTTAGGAGACGTATAGTCATTTAACATGTGGACAGACAACACAAAGTTATTTCCCAGCCACTTTAAAATTTTCAACAGTAAATTTAAACAACCAAACCTAACAACATTTTATATCTATCTAACCTGAACAGTAAAAGTGCAGCTCAAGATTTTACTCGAGTGTAAAGCCACTTTGTGAAAGGAAAGGAATGACAGAATTAGGTCAAGAATCCAGTTCTCCTTCTTAGTAACAAACTAATAGCTAATCAAATGTCAACATAATGGTCATGATGTGCCTGTTTAATAAAAAGGGGGGGAAAGGTTGTTGAATTTAATGATCCATCTTTCTCTAGAACCTGTGGTTGGTCAGGATATAAACCTAGTAATATCGGGGAAACAAAGCACAAACTCCTTCAAAGAAATGTCTTTCCCCCATTCTGAAAAGAGTTGATGAACCTGAACTCCTTTACATCCCACTTGTGAATCTACTTTACAAGGGGCTACCTCTTCTCCGCATTATAAAGAGAAGCTACAGGAGTTTGAGAATCTGTCTAAAAGACTGGAGGAAATTGCTGTCCCCTTTCGCACTAGATTTTAGGAGGGCCGAGTTGTCAGTGGAAGCCCACTGAGGGTCAGCCGCACGTTTACTAATTCTGTGTCTCAGATTAAAATGTCTTTCTGGGTGGAGATGTCAAAATGTGTCTGAAGCCACAGTTGGGGTCAACTCACCGAGTCCTGGCGGCGGTTAACAGTCCACGCTGGGATTTAAGCCCTCGGGCTAGTGCGCACTCCGAAGGCCAGCTTAATTTCTTATGCTGGAGGAAAGGGCGGAGCAAATTCGCCGCCCTCCAAATTCGCCACGTCGAATTCGCACTCCATGGTGTTTAGAACAAGACTTGTCCAGGAAGGTTTTTCTATCTCAGATTTCCCCGGAGCCTCAGTTTCTCCGATACGCACGCACCTCCCGCACGCTGAGGACCCCCTGGCCTACTGGCAAAGACAGGCGCCAACCAGTGATGGCGCCGCCTTGAGACAGCCAATAATGTGTAAGTAAACAACGCGCAAGCGCAGGACAGCGTCCCAACCCGCAGGTCCCGCCCCAAGCGGGAACTTGGATGCTGTTTCCGCAAAGGAGTTTGCGTTTCTCAACTGGAGTGGTGATGGCTAGCAGAAAGCCCCTTTCGTGTACAAATTTGTTAGTCCTGTGTCTACTTTTATTGTCTCTAAGACTTTTGAGGAGAGGCTCTTGTAATTTTTCCCCCCTCAGGAGCAACTTTCTTTCTTAAAGGCTTTCCTTTTCTTGCCCGGCTTGAGTAACTCACTCGTCGTTCTGAAATACCTAGGCACTTGCCTTGTGCCATAACTACTTCTCTGAGAAAATGTTTTCGTTTTTTAGGACTTAACGCCCAAAAAGGATTAGTGGAAGTTTTGAAGACCATCAAAAGTGAACATGTATTCTGTAGCATCAACTAAAATAGTGTTAGAAATCATTAAACAGTATGCTACGTGCATGGAGTTACAAAATTCACATAGGACCTTCACAAAGACAGCTTTGGGCTTGAAGTCTTCTGAAGGCAGGTAGCTGTAATTTCTTATTCTGTGAGAACGTTTAGTGCATTTTGATACAATAAGGAAAGAAAATGGCTTGATATTAGAACTAGGAAACAGGGGCAGCCTGGATTTTTTCATTAGGGACTCCCTCTGTGCTCTTTTTTCCCGTTTTCCTGACATTGACATTGGTGGCATTGAGTAACGGGAATTGTGTGTCATGTGAATTTCCCAGGAAGTGCAGACTATGAAGGACTGTATTCATTCTGAGAAGGCTGCTCCTTGTACATCTCCTACTAATTGGTGGCAGTTGCAGGTACTTTGTCTCACTCACTCACGCTTCCAGAGGCTAGACTCTA